GCGACACCGCCAGCAACGGCACCTCGCCTGCCGAGGGCTGGCGGCCTGTGCGCAGGGTAGCGCGGCGGCCCCGGCCCCGTCCTCCTCAGGCTCCCGCGGGACCGCAGCCAGAGGCTGTGGGAAGTGGGAAGGAGCGGCGGTGGGCCCAAAAGGTGGGTAAGGCCTTGGCTCTGCCCTCCCCGAGCCTCGCACCAGCAGAACCTGCAATAAGAGGGAAACGGCGCGCACCCAGAGCAGAACAGGTTGCCCTCACCAGTGCCAACTTGGTGAGATTTTGCGGGCTAAATACGTGCACTTGCTTCATGTGGGAGTAAAGAATTGGTGGTCAGCAAATATGTAAACTGTCCTTTAGGTTAGAAGAATGATTGTGCATAAATGAGGCAGCATTACGGAATGCCCTGTTGCAGGCCTGAAAACAACTGGTTGGAACACCACCTGCCAAGCATGTGAATGAGCTTGTGATCAGTAAACAGACAAAATCTGAAGGTCAGCAGGTTGTAGAAGTGGAAATGAAACTCTGGCACTATCTGGTAATAAATTGAGAGCTTGTGTACAGTGCATACATTTGCTCTTGGCAATGCTCCCCCTTCAACAAACTTGAGTGAGTTTGTTGTGATTCAGTGCATTGCCCCGATCCCAGCTGGTCCGAAACCGGCAGGTTCATAAAAATGCTTGTATTGGTGTTAGGGCTGAACTAGCCTTGGAAAGCAAGTCTGGAGGAAGTCAGAGCTTCTGATCAGTGCCTGTTCCCTCTGCCAGAACCTGCTTTGCTCTGGGGAAGGGGCTGATCATTGTACCGAGGCCTGTTGTTAATCTGAGAAGCAAGTAACAAAACCAAACCCAAACCTGTAAGGATTCTTTAATTCTGCATCCAGACGTCCCTACATGCTGCCCCACAGGTAGGCAGCAGTCTGTTGGACTGAGGGAAGAAGTGAGGCTTCTGGTTACCTCTGAGACTCCAGCCAGCCTTCCCTGTTCCTGGACTCCTCGCTGTGTCCCATCATTCAGCTCCACACGGGGGAGCGCTTACAAAACGTTCATACTTGCTTCCTAACCTCCCAGCATGAAAATCCAGCCAGGAGTTTGGGAGGACTGGCCAAGACAAAATGCCAGTTAGAAATGAGTATTACTAAACTGCACAGAAATGGCACCGTGAAGGTGCTTCCACAAATGCAACCCTGCAGCCTTCTCTGTTCTGGTCTGCGCTGGGCCCATCACCAGGACACCTGCACTGCCTCCTTGCACCCCCCAGACATGCATACCTGACAGTCAGCCTCCAATCCTACAAAAAACAAGAGATGCTGAAATAATCTCATTTTATTCCCTTTTCTGTTTCCTCATCCCTTCTTTCATGATTGGTTTAGCAGATCACTTAAGTCTGCAGCTAGTGCTTGTACACGAGGTGCTGTGAAAAGATGTGGATGTGCCAGGGCGGGTGGCAGCCCAGATGAACTGAAATGAGGCTGCAGCAGCACTGGCTGCAATGTGCCTGAGCTACATCGAAGGGATCTCCCACCTGAGCAAACCCAGCCTCAAGGGCCTCTCACAGAGGGAAGCTCATGCCAGGCAGGCCCTGGTGTGGTCACCAAGGTGGCTACTGGGCTTCACATGGGCAACCCCACAGCAGCAGTGGAGATGTGCGCAAGAGGCAGCCACTGCCATAGTCAGGGTTTATTCTGTCACGCTGTTATGAGTGGTCCTGGCCTGAGCTAGCCCTGGCAGGAGCTGTGGCTGGGTTTGGCTACCACTAATCTCAGAATGGATCAAATCTGAAGCAACAAGAAGAAGAATATGCTGCCCTACTCTTACTGTCGCTACAACCACAGCGACATATGGAGGAAGCAAACACTTCCCTGACAGGTTTAGTGCAGGCGGCTAAGAGGCGAGTGACTATCCTGCTCTGAGAATTGCCCCACCAGACCCTGCCACCAGCAACCTGGAGCTGAGCCTTGGGTCACTGCTTACATCCACCAGCACCTCCCTTCACTGGGCCTTCCCTGGGCTCTCGCCCTGTGAGCAGAGTAGCAAGGGCACATCAGCCTCGGCATGCCTGGCTGCATCCTACGGTTACTTCCTGGTACATGGAAAGTGTCTCGGGCCAGGAACCCTCCCCATGACTCCCCCTTCACAGTGTGAGGTGAAAGCTGGGAGCCCACCAGGCCCTGCCAGGAGAGTTGTCCGCACCCTGCATGGGGCCAGGGCTGTCATGTTTCCCCTAGAGCACTTGTGGTGGTGATGTGCTTGCTCTTGCAGCACTACACTCAGCCCAAGGCGAAGAGCCAGGCCATCTGCACGCAGGCAGGGGAAAAAAAAAAAGATTGCAGGCATACAGTGCCAGCATGGCACGGCCCAAATAAAAGGTTTGCAGATGCTGCTCAGGCAGGATTAGGCCTCCAATGTGCTAAGTCTCGGCTCTCAGTGAGCCTAATTGCTGCTGCAATAAGCTCTTCCCTGAACCGAGCTTCCCATGCACCCCCCTCCCCGTCAAACTTTTTTTTTTTTCTGCAAAGTCTGTATTTGCCATGCGTATGTTCCCCCCCCC